CCCGTCGCTCCTTTTTCACATAAATCAGCTTTTGTTCTGTTTCACATCCAAACAACCAGCGAGCCAAAAACTCTGAGCCGCTAAGCAGCTTTAGAAATTAGCACTGATAAATATTTGGCAGACATGGAGGTGTGTGTGTGTGTGTGTGTGTGTGGGGGGGTATGTTTATATTCATTTATGAACAACAACATCAGGTCATCATGTGACACATGCAGAGGAAGCGATGTCTCAATAAAGGCTAATTTGGCTCGCTCTTCATCATCACCCTCTTCTTCCTCCTCGCCGCTGAGGTCATTGTGTTGCGGCCTGTTATGTAATTGCTCTGCTTTGTCTTCAAGGACACAAACAGCCCATTCAAAAACATGAAACTTTATCAAACGTCCTGCCAGAGGAGGGTGAGGGAGGAGGTGAGGGAGGAGGTGAGGGAGGAGAAACCCCCCCTGCCTCCCCCGCCTCCCCCACTGAGAACAACGTCTCAGTTATTCTCAACTCTGCAAACATCGTTAGAACAGGTTTCAGGTCGCTGACATAGAAATCATGCCTGCAGCCAATCAAAAGCTGACGCCAGAGAGGAGAACCTGCACCTGAAACATCTCCTGCTGACGTTCCTCAGAACCTCCATACGGAACATTTGAGGAAGAGGACGAGTACCTGGAGTGTCAGGGATGCGTACAGCAGGTATCCCGCCTGTGTGTGGACGACGCCCTTCGGTTTGCCCGTGCTGCCCGACGTGTAGAGCAGGAAGAGGAGGTCCTCGCTGTCGAGAGCCTCGGGCGCACAGACGGCCGGCTGAGAGGACATCGCCTGCAACACGACAGCTCAAACGCTGATCAACAACTCAATATTCAGATTGTATCGATGAAGTATCGATCTCACCTCCTCCAGCTGGACGTCCCTCTCTCCCATCACCACCGGCGTCTCAGTCCTCCGACCGACGAAGACGTGCTGGACGGAGGGACAGGTCTTTACCGCGGCGTCCACGGTGGCTTTGAGCTGGATGACGCGGCCTCCTCTCACACCTTCATTAAAGGTGATCACAGCTTTACAGCCAGCTGGAGAGCAGCAGAGGGACAGTTTGTCATGATTTAATGATGAAGCGGAGTTCCTCAGGGCTCAACCCCGGGTCCTCTTTCATTTCACTTTATTGCTTCTTTTAAAAGTTTCCCCGCGGTCACGCTCAGTCAGAGATCACTCCCAGGTGTTTGACATGTGACGTCACCTGATCTGTTCCTGAGGAGCACACACTGAGCACTTCTTCTTCTCTTGTATGACTTTAGAAACTCACTCGTCAAACGTTGTTACTCATTAACAGACGTTCCTCTGAGGGGTATTACAGTTAATCTGCTTTATGAATGCACTGTGAGTG